ACAAACTAGCGCATGACTCGCACCTCTGGTGCTTTAAATAGACTGTTGACCGTGAATGGAGCTTCCAATATACAAAAAACAACGATATTTATTGCAATCATTAAATTAAACTAGACCCATTCATTTTTCATTTATAAAAATTGAACAATTTTATAAAATCAACTTTCTGGTTATTTTTTACGTAAATGGTCATATCCCTATAACTATGAGTTTAATAGCCATAAGAAAAAATAACTCAAAAAAGGTCGACAGCAAACAGCGGCTTTTTTCATACTTTTGAAAAAGTTGAAAACTTCAAACCCAACAGACAGCTGGAATAGAGTAAATGAACATAAGTAAGCAGAAAAAAATACTGACATTTTTGCAATAATCTCAACTTTTGAAATTCAAGACATAAAAATGCCCTTTAAGCTCTTTGAATTTCTAGAACAATTTATGATTGGAATTTTTTTTTGATAAAATTGACCCAACTGGATGAATAGGTAAATTTTTCAATTCGCTGAAAATCTGAAAATAAAAATCCACTTTCGAAACAAAGTCGATCACGTTTTCGTGACCTTTACACTTTCCCAGTTTGATAGCAGAGTTTGTCTTCCTTTTAACAAAAGAAATGAAGTGAACTTCAAAATGAATCAAAAGTCAAACCGCGAAAAAAATGAATTTAAGCCTGGACAAATTTTGCAACTTTTCCTAAAAAAATCATCGCGAGCTAGATAAAAGTCTGAACTACAGTCCTAATCAGAAAAAAAATTGTTTAATTCACTGAAATATTTGTAAAATCTGATAAATAAAATTGTCATATCTCGGAAAACAAACACAAAAATTTCAAATAGAAGCTAAACTTACAACTCCTAGGAATGCCATGTCTTGAAAACCGAGATAATTTGAGCAGTTAAATTTGAAGGCCAGATTTAGAAACCCTGAGTGTACCCAGACAGCACACAATGAAAAAGTTGAGACTTTGAAGTTTTGTTAATTTTCTTCAAATCAAAGTTTTTTGATGAAGAAAAAATCATAAGAAATGGCACATCTCGAAAATCAGAAGGACTTGAGCGGAAAAATATGGAGGCCGGATTCGCAACTCCTGAGTGTTTCACGACAACACCCAACGATTCTCTCAGTCTTTTGAATCAACGTTTTTTTTTTCAAATCAACGTTAATTGAAAAAATCCTAAAATTCCATATTCGATATCCAAAATATTTTGAGCAGTAAAATTTAGAAGCAGGTTTTGCAACCTTTGAGTTATAGGGAAAAACGCAAAAATCATACAAAAAACAAAAAACCATCTCTCGGAAAGCAAAAGGATTTCAGCGGTAATATTATATCTGGATGCCAAATTTACAACCACTACCGTGACAACATCTATCCTTAATTCGATTTTTTTTTCAAATAAAACCTGAAACGAAAAGCTTCAAAAAGTTTGCTTTCCGAAGAAAGGAAAACACTACTTAAAGCATTCATGCTTCAACAGAAGTACGGTTTAGAATTGTAGATGACATTCGAAATTTAAAATGTTAAAGTCAATAAAACATTGAACGTTGCAATATGTTGGCAATTTTTGAACATGTCAACATTGGGACTTCTTAAACATGTGTCAAGTGAAACGCCAATGTATATATAGATAGATGAAGACAGATGCATAGATAGGGAAACACTTTCGGAAAACCTTTGATCCAATCGATTTTCAACATGGTCTTAATACCCATATTAAAACTGATTTTCGTCTGCTGCATTTCAATCTGGCTGCCTTTTAATTTTTCTCAGAACCCAAATAGCTGAATTCAAGACGGAGATGAATTTATAACTGCTTTTATCCACTCATTTTCAAGCACAAACTTAATTACATATAAGACCCTTTAAAAAGTTTTTTTGACAGCTTTGAGGTCACTCTTTACTAAAACCATATGATGTCCTGATAGAATTTTCCAATTCAAACCAACCTGACTGATAGACAGTATACAAGGTGGTGAATCTGGCAACCGATTCCACAATTTTTGAACACATTGCAATTGATTTTGGCGGCATTCCGGCAATTAACTGGATACTGCAGATAATATAATCGTCGCTGGATCGAAACGGAAGACTCTAACAACTCATGGGAATGCGATGGACGATTTAATTGCGGGTACTTCCCAGATTCAACCGCCACGAAATCAAACACAGAATTTAGGAGCTTCAGGGCAATCCCATTTTTATCTTTTGCATCACTTGAAAGAAGCAGTTCATCTGTTCTCTGTTTAACTAAGTAAGAAAATCGCTTCAAATTTTCCAAATTATTGCCAAGGATGAGGTGAAGTTGAAATCTTTAGTCTTTGAGCATAAATTCGTCTCAAGTGTTAGTAATAAGTCAGCTTCGTAATTCTCAGGTTTCTCCAGGCTAATTTTGTGCACGTAGATAATTATCGAAATTGCCCAAAATGCTAAAAAGGCACCAAACAGGTATCTCAAACGCAGGCGCATAAGCACCTTTAAGTAAGATACAATAGGTCAAAACATTTCGTCTGAAAACAAAAAAAAACACTGTTTTCATTTTCATTGCAACAGTAGTCGTATAAAAATAGAAAGATTGTTTAAGATCTGAACTGCGTAGCAAACGGATATTTCGTGTATCTTTAGGAATAGATAAAGCTGAAAAAAGTGCTATTTGCCGGAATCAAACCCCAGACAGCATGATTGTGAGTCGCACGCCCAGGCATCAGCACCATTCGAAAGACTCCTAAGCTATTGTTTTAGGACAACTGAAAAAATATAGCGTTACTAGCACATAACTTGCACCTACGGTGCTTTAAAAAGAATATTGAACATAAAACTTGCTTTTTGATAATATAAAACAAAACGAAATTTATTGCAATGTTAAAGTAGACTCAATACTGGTTTTCAGACGTTCGTATTTCTAACACAGGATAAACACCCTAAAAAAGCAGGCAACTCAACTGAACTGCTCATATTGTAAATCAAAAGTTCCAAAAACAATTATTTTGTTCTGTATACCCTATAACTTATCTATCACATCCATCAATCGATTAATGTCAGCGTAATTAATCAAGAAACAGCAACCAAAAAACTCTACTCAATTTGAAAAATTAAAAAACATATCTGTAAAACTAGCATGATTTGATCGGTCACATCAGCAACCCTGTGAGTACCCTGACATCACCCCCAAAAATAGTGTCAAGAATTTCCACAATTTTTGAACAACAAACTTTACGAAAACTTTTGAAACAATCTTGAAAATGCCATATATCTGAATAAAGTCATGTTTGGGTACCAAATATGAAAAACTGGGAACACCTGCATTACCCCACCCGTGGGCCGAAAGTTTCAACTTTTTACAAATCTAATAAAAAAACTTTGAACCCAATTTTTTTTAAATCATAGGAACTACTAGGATTTCAGTAATGATCTTTAACAGCCTCATCTGCGTGCGACCCCCGGAGTAATTTGAAGTCAGATTAAACAGATTCGAGAGTTTCATATATTGATAAACATTGTTTAATATTCAAGCGTTTTGAAAAGTTATGTCAAATCAGAAAAAACGTATTCCTCAAAAAAAAGGATTTGATCAGTCATATTTGTGAGGTGAAGTTTGCAACACGTGAGAAGAATCCATCAGCACCCAACCATAGGGCTGTTCTTTTCAATTTCATTGAAAAAAAAATGAAACGAAAATCTGCTCATAACTTTGCGCTGCGAAAAAAAATGGAGATTTTATAGCCTTCGCTCTGCAACAGATGTAGGATGAACACCGTAAATGATCTTGGAATTTGGCATTCAATTGCTCGTATGGACAAAAAGACGTAACTGAAAATTTGTAAAGAAAATTTAAAACGTTGACTTCAGTACATAGGGACATGTGTCTAAGCAATCACCAGTTAAATCAGGCATCGATTTTTATTTTATGAACAAAAAGCTAGTCCAAAATTTCATTCAAGGAATAAATGCTGGCCATGAATTTCTATAATTAAAAATGCTTGTCATGCTGTTTCTATAAATTTTTCTACTATAAAAATTATTGCCAGAAATCTTGACGAGAATCGCTTTTTTTGCTTTTCACAACATACTAATGGTTAACAAATTTAAAAAAATGCAAACAAGGACAAAAAAATTCCTGATACAAAACTACCTGCACTATTAGAAAACGTACAAAGAGCTTTTATAATGCTAAAAAGGAACCGAACCTTTTCAGTTTGGACAAAAAAACAGGTTCCGACTGAGATTGACCTGCTGGGATTTGTCCTCAAGCGTGAGTGTTACCACAGCACTAAAAGCATAGAACACTCCTTGAGTTTATAAAGAAAAACGACTTTTAAAAAATTTCAAAGAAGAGCATAAAGAAATTTTTTTAAAAAAGCTTAAAAATATATGCAAAACTTCTTGGAACTCAATTACTTGGCAAAAACCGGATACACTGAAACTTTTTTGAATTTAAGGAAAGAATTCCCAACTTTTAGGCAAATTTGGTGTTGCGGTAACTAAGCCGACAAAAAAGCAGACAAACAAAAGTCCAACAAAGATTTTTTCACGCACAGAAAAGTTTTTGCTTAAAAAAACAGATCCTGACCGGATTCGAACCATTGGCATTGGTTTTAGTAGTCAGGTGCGTTACCTCTTCGCCACATGCGCGACCTTCCATCAGACTTTTGATTTCATATGAGCCAAGGTAAAATGATTCAAGTGATTCTCTTTAACAAGTTGTTAACCCAAAAGCCTACATTCCTCCTGTTTGATAACGCTTGCTTATGACAAGCGTAAGAAACGTATTACAATCTGCTGGTTTATGAGTTCAATTAAAAGTAAAGAAAACTTTTTAAAATGTTTTTCCAAAAATAACATCAAAAAACTCTCCGATTCTTGCACAGCGTTTTATCGAGATTGATTTCAGTGTATACATTTTCTAGAAACTTGAAAACTGACAGTAAAGTACTTCGCAATTGGTGTTACTTTATAATGATCAATGCTCAGTACCGACTTAAACTTCTGTGGCTCCCGTAGTTAAGTTGAAAACAAACATTAAGCAATTTATTGTTTAGACTCTAACATAGAACCAAGCGCAAAAGTGAATCAGTTTGATTTAAGTTTCAGGTTTTATTCTTTTTCGATCAACTATTCTCTGACCACTTCTAATGAGCAAATAACAATCTTTTCAACAAAACCGAGTTGCCTCAAAGTCAGCTTCCGAATAGGTGAAGAAGGAGCTCTTTCACAACCAGCACGTTAAGACCATTTCCCAATAACTTATACCTCTGCTTCATCGTAATTGAATCTGGAAACTCGAACCAGCTCGGATAACAATGCAATTGCAGAACTTCGCTTTCTGTAAAACGTCTCAACTTCGCATTACAGCTTGTCACATATTTTTTCAGCTCTGTTGATGTTAAACTTGTTTGTGAAATTTCCGAATTCGACTCCAAAACCAAACTTCCCGTTCCTTCATAATATCTTCCGTAGCTTTTTGTGAAACACATGCAATGCGTTGAGTCTTTAGCGACAACGTCCATCACTGGTAAATACTTGAGAGCAGTTTCATTCTTCAAATAATACTCTTCAGGAACACTTTCTGTTGGCAAGAGATAAGAGCCCAGAGAACAATCATTTAAAGTTTGAAACTTCATTTTTGAGCTGAGCGGTTGGATGCGTTTTGAACTTTTTGACGCCAAAACGTAACACCTGAACGAAAACTCACGTTCATCATCAGTTGATTTTTAGAATAAAAATTTGAGCTTCAAATTTCTGCATACCTCAATCGAGCGTTGGGGATTCCAAAATCGATTGGACTCAGGAACTCGACGCGATGTTGGTAACCGCAAAAGTCCAGACACTTCACATAATTTTCAAATGCCTCACTTTCGTCAAACCCTTTCACATTTTCTAGCAAAATCCAATTTGGTTTCAAAATTCCTCGTTCTAAGTAACTGATCACTGACTGTAATCCATTGCATCTTTGATCATCAACATCTTTCTTGTGACCCTGTCTTGTAAAAGGCTGACAAGGCGGACTCATGACAACCAAATCGGTATTCAAATCTCTCAAAAACTTTTCCGACACAGTTTCAATTGCTTTTGTTATTAAAGGCGTATTCTGGAAGTTATGTTTGTAAACTGTGTTAGCTGCTTCATTTATATCAACTGCTGCTTTTACATTAAAGCTGTATTTTACGCTGTCTTTAGATAATTCATTCAAGGCACAATGGTATCCACCAACACCCGAGAAAAGCTCCAAAACATTGATTACTTCTGCCATTACTCATACAAGAACACCTGAAAAACATGAGGCGAAAATAAATATGCGCAATTCCTTTAAAAGATTGGTAGTCCATTTCTTTTTTCATTTTTAATTATAAAATACTGAACAACTTATAGTCTACTAATTGATATTTATACAACTTTAAAAATAACATGATATACACACGAAGGTTTAAATGTTCTATCTACAAATGAATTTAAAAACAGCGGAACTGTGCTATAAATTACTAAGTTATCTAATATCGCCAAAAGTTAAACGGATGGCTATCAAAATCTCAATTGGACCAACAACAAGAACGTGACTTAGGCGTAAAAGAAAAGATTGTCTTAAACAAACTGAGATCTTAAAACCCATTCGATTAACGTTCAACTTACTATCTGAGTATATCTTTATAAGTTTCGAATCTTTCTTCCACTTTATAAGCAGGAAACAACCCTTCTCGCTTCGTGCGCAGGTTAGTTCCGACCATGAAGCCATTCCTCAAGTCACCGGATACTTTCACCTTGTCGTCTATTCTCAGAGACATTTCGTTCACGCCTTTTGAGGTATGGTTTGCAATGGCCTCCCAAAAATGTTCATTTTGGCCCCCAAAATAGTACAAATCATCAAGAGATTCAACTCTCCAAGACATATCCATAGTCTCTCTACTTTGCATCAACTCGTACGCCAGCCGACAAAATTGGGATGAAAACGTGCACACTATATATTGCGATTTAGACAGTATAAAAATATCGACAATAGCTTTGAAAATAGAAGTTTTAGCTTTTCGTTTCATAACTGCAGCTGAATCTATGCTTTCTTCGTCCGCAACAATATCAAAAAATTTGAAGTCTGTTCGGAATTCTTGAACTGTGTCAAACGTATCCGTAGCAACAAAAACGGTCTTCGAAATATTTCGGAACCCTTTACTACTTTTCAACATTTTATGGGCCTCGAAAAGTGCTTGGTTATATTCATACACATGATGCAACTTCGCCTCTGTGCCTACTTTGTCAGTTCTCCTTATATGACACGCCATGTACATTTTATTTTTAAATTTGTGCTTTTCTTCAGTCAACTTTATCCGTTTTTGTAAACGTCTATTCGGCCGCATTATGAAGGATACTAACTGTCCGATCCACCATACAGATGGTTTTGCGTGACAACATTTGATATTGTCGTGAACACTTTCAGGTATTGCTAAGGGTAAATAACTCGGCCTCGGGTTCAAAACTTCTACCAGTGGCAAGTCTATGACAGATATGTCTTTGGTTGCCAGAGACCATTGTAAAGGCGCATGTTTGTAGTCTTTAGTAGAGCAGCTAGAGAACGGAAGGAAAAAGTCACCCCAGTTTATCAAGGTTTCCGATTGCTGTTGATTGTTTTCAAAGACAAGAGTCCGATTGAGAGCGAAACTAAAACATAAGCGAATCATTCAATATATACAAACTAGCGCATGACTCGCACCTCCGGTGCTTTAAATAGACTGTTGACCGTGAATGGAGCTTCCAATATACAAAAAACAACGATATTTATTGCAATCATTAAATTAAACTAGACCCATTCATTTTTCATTTATAAAAATTGAACAATTTTATAAAATCAACTTTCTGGTTATTTTTTACGTAAATGGTCATATCCCTATAACTATGAGTTTAATAGCCATAAGAAAAAATAACTCAAAAAAGGTCGACAGCAAACAGCGGCTTTTTTCATACTTTTGAAAAAGTTGAAAACTTCAAACCCAACAGACAGCTGGAATAGAGTAAATGAACATAAGTAAGCAGAAAAAAATACTGAAATTTTTGCAATAATCTCAACTTTTGAAATTCAAGACATAAAAATGCCCTTTAAGCTCTTTGAATTTCTAGAACAATTTATGATTGGAATTTTTTTTTGATAAAATTGACCCAACTGGATGAATAGGTAAATTTTTCAATTCGCTGAAAATCTGAAAATAAAAATCCACTTTCGAAACAAAGTCGATCACGTTTTCGTGACCTTTACACTTTCCCAGTTTGATAGCAGAGTTTGTCTTCCTTTTAACAAAAGAAATGAAGTGAACTTCAAAATGAATCAAAAGTCAAACCGCGAAAAAAATGAATTTAAGCCTGGACAAATTTTGCAACTTTTCCTAAAAAAATCATCGCGAGCTAGATAAAAGTCTGAACTACAGTCCTAATCAGAAAAAAAATTGTTTAATTCACTGAAATATTTGTAAAATCTGATAAATAAAATTGTCATATCTCGGAAAACAAACACAAAAATTTCAAATAGAAGCTAAACTTACAACTCCTAGGAATGCCATGTCTTGAAAACCGAGATAATTTGAGCAGTTAAATTTGAAGGCCAAATTTAGAAACCCTGAGTGTACCCAGACAGCACACAATGAAAAAGTTGAGACTTTGAAGTTTTGTTAATTTTCTTCAAATCAAAGTTTTTTGATGAAGAAAAAATCATAAGAAATGGCACATCTCGAAAATCAGAAGGACTTGAGCGGAAAAATATGGAGGCCGGATTCGCAACTCCTGAGTGTTTCACGACAACACCCAACGATTCTCTCAGTCTTTTGAATCAACGTTTTTTTTTCAAATCAACGTTAATTGAAAAAATCCTAAAATTCCATATTCGATATCCAAAATATTTTGAGCAGTAAAATTTAGAAGCAGGTTTTGCAACCTTTGAGTTATAGGGAAAAACGCAAAAATCATACAAAAAACCATCTCTCGGAAAGCAAAAGGATTTCAGCGGTAATATTATATCTGGATGCCAAATTTACAACCACTACCGTGACAACATCTATCCTTAATTCGATTTTTTTTTCAAATAAAACCTGAAACGAAAAGCTTCAAAAAGTTTGCTTTCCGAAGAAAGGAAAACACTACTTAAAGCATTCATGCTTCAACAGAAGTACGGTTTAGAATTGTAGATGACATTCGAAATTTAAAATGTTAAAGTCAATAAAACATTGAACGTTGCAATATGTTGGCAATTTTTGAACATGTCAACATTGGGACTTCTTAAACATGTGTCAAGTGAAACGCCAATGTATATATAGATAGATGAAGACAGATGCATAGATAGGGAAACACTTTCGGAAAACCTTTGATCCAATCGATTTTCAACATGGTCTTAATACCCATATTAAAACTGATTTTCGTCTGCTGCATTTCAATCTGGCTGCCTTTTAATTTTTCTCAGAACCCAAATAGCTGAATTCAAGACGGAGATGAATTTATAACTGCTTTTATCCACTCATTTTCAAGCACAAACTTAATTACATATAAGACCCTTTAAAAAGTTTTTTTGACAGCTTTGAGGTCACTCTTTACTAAAACCATATGATGTCCTGATAGAATTTTCCAATTCAAACCAACCTGACTGATAGACAGTATACAAGGTGGTGAATCTGGCAACCGATTCCACAATTTTTGAACACATTGCAATTGATTTTGGCGGCATTCCGGCAATTAACTGGATACTGCAGATAATATAATCGTCGCTGGATCGAAACGGAAGACTCTAACAACTCATGGGAATGCGATGGACGATTTAATTGCGGGTACTTCCCAGATTCAACCGCCACGAAATCAAACACAGAATTTAGGAGCTTCAGGGCAATCCCATTTTTATCTTTTGCATCACTTGAAAGAAGCAGTTCATCTGTTCTCTGTTTAACTAAGTAAGAAAATCGCTTCAAATTTTCCAAATTATTGCCAAGAGATGAGGTGAAGTTGAAATCTTTAGTCTTTGAGCATAAATTCGTCTCAAGTGTTAGTAATAAGTCAGCTTCGTAATTCTCAGGTTTCTCCAGGCTAATTTTGTGCACGTAGATAATTATCGAAATTGCCCAAAATGCTAAAAAGGCACCAAACAGGTATCTCAAACGCAGGCGCATAAGCACCTTTAAGTAAGATACAATAGGTCAAAACATTTCGTCTGAAAACAAAAAAAAACACTGTTTTCATTTTCATTGCAACAGTAGTCGTATAAAAATAGAAAGATTGTTTAAGATCTGAACTGCGTAGCAAACGGATATTTCGTGTATATTTAGGAATAGATAAAGCTGAAAAAAGTGCTATTTGCCGGAATCAAACCCCAGACAGCATGATTGTGAGTCGCACGCCCAGGCATCAGCACCATGGTCGCTTGACAATCGTCAAACACTAACCATTAATGTTTTATCGTCATTTAGATTACAAGTTTATTGTAAAAATCCTGACGATGCACATAGTTGCGAAAACGTTTGAAATTTACTTTTAGCAAAACTTTCTTCACTAACCATTAATATTCAGATTCAAAGATATAATGCTATGCAGCAAAATTTAACCAGATATTATGAAATTTCTACAAAATAGCTTAGTATCAAATGGCCACTTCTATTAGCGACATTTTTATTCTTTTCTCGAGGGTAACTTTAGTTCTCAAGAAAAATTTTGTGCCGCAGTATAATTCATTGTTCTTCGCTAATTATTTCAGCTAGCTTCTGAATTGATTTAGAGCGTGGCACTGCTCCTGCAGTATATACACAAAATAAAGGAACGAAACTGCTGTATTTTGGAGTTTTCAAGCTTTAGTGATATTTGTAAGCATCGGGTACGGTTTTTGGTCATGATTTGGAGTCCATTAGCCTTGATGAAAAGTGTACCGTAAACTTCAGTAGCGGTAAGGTTATAAGAACCAAAATTAACTTGACGTTGGTGTTAGTTTTGTCTATAACCATATTGCATTCCCGCGCTCGTGCAATCATTACCACACAGCTTTAGATGTTGTCCTTTTCACAGGTTGGTATGAACAACTGTAACATTCGTCTACTGCAGTCACACATGAGGCTTAAGAAAAATAGGCCCTATAACCACTGGCTCAAGGGTCAGGGACACCATCTCTTGTGTTTTTCTACCTCAAGAACGGTCGGAGCCAGTTCGGTTCGTTTGTGACATGAGACTACGAGCCGTTACAGCTTAAAGGCTACTACTAAAATATCCCCCCACTCTAGAATTAGAAACGTCCCCATACTTAGGTCTCTAGATACCCAAAATACATGAACGCCGTTAAAAACCGGGTTGGAACAATCCGTTAAGTTACTTTTTATTAGACAGTGGAACTTTGATCCATTTCAGATGGATCAACCTAAAACTCGCCTTACCTCAACATAACAATTATAAAACACACTCTAGGAATTTAAATTAAGTACTCACATTGTAGCACGCTCAAGAACCAGGAAGTAAATAAGTCGGTAAGTAACTCAAGAATTAATAAAGTAACTAAAATGAGTTTAATGTTAGTCAGTTTTAATAATAAGAACAAGTTTTTTCTCTAGACTGTAAGTTCTCGTGAACCATTGGGACACTCTAGCTGTCCACCTTTCCACCGAAGGTTCACTCTGGTCCAGTTAATAATAGTACTCCAATCACAACAATCCAGTTCGTGGGAATGCTCTCGTCTCTGTTTTAGATGGGACAGCTCTACTCTTGTTCTATTGTGACAGAAATTGCGAATAGCAATTTCCCACCGTTTTATTTAGCAACTTTCCCGCGATTGTTACTCGATTGTTCTGACTTCTCTTTTCTGATTTTCAGTTATCGCGAGAAAATCGTGCATGACAGGTTCCATTCGAAATTTTTAAAAATTAAATTTCACTCCAAAATCAAGTGTTTTTTGCTTCTCTCAAGGTCAAACTTCCGAATATGACCGACTGGCACATACTCCCCGGACTCGAGATCGATGTCCTCATCGCGTGCTGTCTTCTGCCAGTGAGTCCCAGAAAACCGAGTGTTACTCAAGATACAGTGCCAGTGGTCATTTACAGAAGTTTGCAGCCGACTTAAGCTTATCTACACCCCAAAATTCACAGCCATGTAAAATTTTCACACTATCGCTAAACAGCAATCAAAATCTGCACACACCTGCACCCTTGAATTCTTGCTTTCCAAGCCAATCATTTAAAATTTCTTTTGTCCTATTCAATCAGGAAATTGTCATGCAGCATTTTGATTTATATAATAAATATAGTATATTAATAACAATATTTGCTTTGTTAAAACTTCTTTTTCGTGAATCCAAGTTTCACCCGGATCCACGCTCAAGCCCCCTTTCCCTCTCAAGACTCAAGATCCATTCGAGCCACCTGCTCATCTCGCACTCTTCGCCTTGGAGGTACTGCACCCTGAAGTTCATCCAAGTTCACCCTCGAGCCCCCTCCCTCTCAAGACTCAAGACTCTAGAATTTCCTTTTGAGCCACCGGCTCACCTCGTGTTCTTCACCCTCGAGGTACCCGACCCAGATATATTTGACCCTGTGATCTGTTTCAACAGTTCCTCTTCATCATCGGAGCTAATCACAATCTCCTCCCAAGCCTTCAGCTGTTCGTAGGATCGCATCCATTCTCTTTGCTCTTGCAACCTCTTTGCTTGGTTGGGTAGTGCCTTCACCCTAGACTCCCGGTTCAAACAAAAGGAGTTGTGCAGGCTCAAGCTCACGTTCTTCGCCAGGTCCTCCTCTAGTATCGATTCCCTCGCCTTGGTATTGTCTCTAGACATCTTACCCACTCTCTTCCATCCTGTCGTGATTGCATTACGATGGGTTAACAGGGGTCTCTTGAAAGCTTCCGGCCCAATCTCGGCCTGGAACTGTCGATACTCCTTTTGATGTTTTCTCATGTGATCTTTCGTTGTCATGTACAACCAGGACGTCAGCGTCGCCCGATACCATGGGAAGTACCTCAAACGGCTCCAGACATGTCTGACTTCCGTTGGTATGGCGAATACCTTGCACGCAGTCTCAAACAACTCGAGTCTCCTACTGTAGTCTATCGCGTATATTGACTCTGCCGTTGGCGTCCCCGCTTCCCGATACTTCGTTATATTCTCTTCTATCCATCTCAGAGCCAAGATCGTACTCACTACCAAGATCGTCACCTTCTGTCGGTGATCCGGTAGTCCGATCGACCGGATTTCTTCCATATCCCACACCAGGCAAAGGTTCTTGTGATCTGGATACCACACCGTTTGCGCTAAACAGTGGCATGGGCATTCTCCATGGGTGATTTCAATGCTCCTGAGGTTACGCTCCCCCGAGGCTTCCAAGAGAGGCTCAAGCTCCATCATTTTCTCATGCATCGTGTCGTTATCTTCCAGGTTTGGAGCACTTCCCACAGGTTTTCCGATCACGTTTTGTCTCTCGTGATCGCTTGTGTTCTCTCTCTCCAACTTCAAAAGTTCTTCTCCCCAGAGTTCACTCAAGTCATCTCTCAATTCTTTTGGTACTGTCCCTCTGATTTTTCTCAACAACTTGTGCGAGTGATGCGATATCCGAGCCAACCTCACGCACTTGGGCACTGAGAAGGCCTTGTCCACCAGTACTCTCTGGCTGGATGCTTCCACCATCACCATGTGCAGTGGGTAGTGACTTCCGCACAAGTTGGCCATCATTGACCCTATCAGCGATTTCGCGTTCAATGGCAAGCCATAAGCTTCGCTCATGGGAAATCCCATTTCCGCCTCAAGACCAACCTTCCAGCTCCGGATGTGTTTTTGAGTCACCTGCAACACCCCGGGCCATGATTCTACGCTCAACGCCGTCACTAAATGATGTTCAGATTCTAGTCTTTCCAGTGACTGCAGACTACACATTCTCGAGAAGAATCCGAGAGCTGTCGCTATATTCACCGTGGTTCTCGCGTAACACTCCGCTACTATTTGCACTTCACTTTTCTCCCTTTCTGTTATGTCTTCGAACCAAGTGACCAGGTCTTCTTTTTGAAATGACAGTATTCTGACGCATGACCGTCCATCGCAGGTGTGCTCTCCGTTTCCACACGTCGAATCCAGACAGCTACCCGGCTCCAATTTCTTTGCTGACCCGGGATTACTAGTCTTTTCGCCTGGCTCTTGCATCTGAGGTGAAATTAGCTTATGCAGCACACTCAACTTTGCCAGATCTTCATCTTCCGTTGGTGCTAACCTCACTCGCTCGGTGGTTTCCTCGATCAGACTCGCGTGGGGATGTGGACACCAGGAGGGTCTTAATAGTTTCCATACCACTCCCAAGTTCGTGGTTAACAAGCCATTTCCATCGCCCATGTTCACTTCAACTCTCTTGTCTGAACGTGGTATGCTCACCACCTCTGGTGTTTTCTCAAGAATCAGGCCCAGGCTCGGCCCCTCTTTTTCCACCGCGTCTATTTCCATTATTCTTTCTGTCCAAAACTTCAGTAGCTCCGCTACCTCATGGTTCCTGTGGGCGCCTCCAGCTTCCGAGTCTAAGAAGGGGTTGTAGGCCATTCCCATCACTCCAGACACATATTGGTATTCCCCCTTCTCGCTGATTCTCGAGTACTGCTCTGACGAGGCCAGGTTACGGTGAACATCATGTTCTTCTTCGAACTTCTTATTATAAAACCTCCGTACCTCGTCTAGCTTCCTATGGTTCTCTAGGGATAGTCTGGAACCCTCTTCCTTTTCTATTCCTGTGCTCTGATACACGTTCAAGATGACCGTTGAGACTCTTTTTTCCATGTTTTTGCTTGCGCTTGCTCTCTGTTGGCATGCCAGGATGGTGCTATCAGACATCATCGACATTATCCATCTCAAGAAACACGTGGCATCCTTTCTTCTGGCCAGGCTCAAGCCTGAGTTGTCCCTGGCTACGTGTTGCATCAGTGCCTGATACATCTCTAGCTTCTTGCTTCCCAACTTCAGCCTGTCATACGAGGTCAGTGTTTCCAACTCTATCCCCACCAGACTCCAGGTGAACATTAATTGTCCTGCAGTTCTAACGAAGGGATTCGCCATTAATGGTGGTGCTGATGAGGGTGTCCTCATTGCTTCTTCAAAATGATCCTTCAACAAACTCTGCCAGGACCTCTTCAGATGATTTGCCATTTCTATTCTATTAACCTCGGCCTTTTGCTGGGTGGCCCAATTACGTCGCTTG